ACACACACTCGTTCACGCACACACGTCGCACACACGCGCTCACGCACACACGCGCTCACGCACACACGTCGCACAAACGCGCTCACGCACACACGCGCTCACGCACACACGTCGCACATACGCGCTCACGCACACACGTCGCACACACGCGCTCACGCACACACGTCGCACACACGCGCTCACGCACACACGTCGCACACACGCGCTAACGCACACACGTCGTGCACGCACACGCACACATGTCGCACACACGCGCTCACGCACACACGTCTACGGCTACGGGTACCAGTCTAGCTTGCTGCCAGCCGCAGTAGACGATCGATAAACCGTGCGCCTGCATGTACATATGCCCGTGGTAGATTACGAATGCTGCACGTGAACTCGGAAAAAAACGGAAAACGCGGAAACAATTCTGGGATCGGGGGAAAAGCGGAAATCCGGAAAATTTTCATGCCTGTACACCTCTTGACCTTTGACGTTTGACCCCCAGCTTCGACATCCCAACTCGTTTTCGGATTACCCCCTACGTCCCGACTTTCGAATCCGTACGTCGAGCCGTTTAGATTTGTGCCCAACTGTTGACGGACGGACGGACGGACGGACGCACGGACGGACGGACGGACGCACGCACGCACGCACAGAGAATCATGCAATTCTACAAGCTGCATCTGACTATGTCAGATGAGCTAATAATAGAGAAAATAACAGGAAAACTGAAAACAATGTCATTAAACTCAAAATCTTGTAACTTTGCACTGCTTGAATAATTGATTGATATAATAAACAAATCACTTCCCTCCGGAAAGTTCCTAAGGTAGGTTAAATGTGCATTTTAGTCATGATCTCAGTCTCTAACGTTAGCAACACTGGGCACAGTGAGATGTTTTGGTTTTTTCCCCAACAATACGAGATGTCATATAATTTATACTTGGCATAAACATAAGCATATTCACTCATCCCACAATGCTTCGAATAGGTTTCAATACAAATTCTTCTGAGGTATGATAGCCTTACTGTCAAAATGCTGCGATTGCTCCATGAGGAACTGAGATCCTTGAGTCCACTGCCTCTCTAACAATTGCTCCATTGTTGTGGGGAATGAGACGTGAGCTGCAGCCTGAGAGTTCTGGGACGAGGACAAGTTAGGCAATTGTGGCCCTATCAGCATCGAGGACTGTGAGGAAGACATTGCTGCAAGGCATGAATCATGTGTCACATACACACCACATCAAAAACTGCAGTAGTTTTTTCCAATGCTGTTAAAAACATTCGTCAATGTAAATATAAGAACATCTGATTTTTGTGCTAACAGAGAAATATCACTACGTACGTACGTTGAAAGATAGTCACGGTAATACAATATAGCTGGTAATAAAAACAAACATATGCAAAGCAATTCATAGCACAGGTGCAATTAATTGATAATTGATAAATGATGACACAGCAACAATGTGTACTATAAAGGAGCACTAAAAATCACAAGGTAAAACTGCATTTTTACCTAGCTGTTTGCTAGTACAAATTTATGCTTGTAATATTGAAAATTCTTTCTTGCTGAATTCAAGATACATAAGCGTAATTACTATGATAATACTAGACTACGTGCACCATGAAATTTAATCTTATCTAAATCTTGTACCTGACTGTACTGGCCCATTCTCTAAATTTTTCGTGATGTCCGGTGAAGACGCTGCATGGGAATGATTGTTTATGGCTGTGCTGCAATAACATTCTTAATGTTATTATTATTGTTATTATTATCATCATCACCATATCATTACTGATTTAATTATGTTACATCAGCGAGTGATAAAACATGTTTGAAAGCTACTCATTGCCAGTATAATTAATAATGTGGAGGCCACCAAATGATAATTTTCTATGAAAATAAAGTGTCTCAGTTAGATCCAAAATTGGTTATAAATACTTACACTGGCGATAATTCTCTACGTGATAAAATAGGTGTTACTCCCAAAAACTTGTCCTTTGTTGACATTAACACAGAACGCTAATAGGGTATACAAAGTAGACAAACTAGGCATAAATCTCGTATGTTTTACAATGACATGGGTACGAAATTGATGGCCTTTCCCATTTGAATACTGGGCAAGGACAAACGAGGTCAATGCAACAGATAAAGAGAAGGAAGACAGGCAAGAATGGTTTAACACCTGCAAGAATTTGTTGGGGACAGCGGCCTCATTGATAAAAGGTCCTTCATCATCTTAGTCCCAGTAGGCAGCTTTCCTTTCTTTTCGCTTGCTATCTTCACCTTCTGCTTTCTTTTCTCACCACTCTGGGACTTCTGCCGCTTGACACCATGTGTCAAGGGGTGTGTCGAACCAGACTGCTCACCATTACCTGGCAGACAATCAGAAAAGGCTTGCACCAACAGTTACATATATCACAGCTTGTCACATCTACCTGTTTCCTTCAATAAAAACAAATAAAATCAGTATAATATGGGCTTCTAAATTAACTCCCTATGTTCAACTTATTACAGACTAAGTCTGAGAGTAGTAGGTGTCAGAATCCCTATCCGAGGAGGACTGAGTGCAAGAGAAAGCTAGTACTACAATAGCAGTACAACACATCTGGGCACTACCACTGCAACCATTCGGGGAGCAACTTTTGGACGATATATACTTAAAGCTTGCATTTGTACATTTGGTTTTTAAATTCATTCGGCCTTGTGACAATTCTATGCCTGTACTTTACAGTATCAAGTGTGGTTGCCCTACAGAATAAATTTGCAAAGATATATTTTGCATGCCCAAAAGAGGCAAGATAAGATCGTAGTAATACTACAATAATGATTATCCATGCCATCATCATATAAGCACACCAACTATAAACGACATGAATTTATATCACCTGATTTCACTTTTAGCCATTGACATACCAGACTGACATACCATTAGCTGAAATGTGTACAGATTTCCTTCCTTACTGACAGCAAAATGTGAACAAATTCGGCTAATAAAAAAGAAGTCGAGAATTCATGTGCATTCTTCATTGTTATCTGTTTAAAAAAATAGCATATTTCGTAAAAAAGAAGAAGAAATCTCTGCTTGCTCAGAACATTACCTGACAAGCTAGGTGAAAATGTGGGTGCAGTAGATTTGTTTACGTCCGCAGATGTTGTGGATGAAATCGTCACATTTCCTATATCTTTGCCTAAGTGAGGTGAAAATTCACCTGAAAACATATAAGAAAATTAATAGTGTTGTCCATGCATGTTTACACTTTTCTTGTATATGTGGGCTTTATTTATGGACAGCATAGTACTGGTAGCTAGCTAAGAATATAGCAGTATATTTCGTGAAACTTGGAAACATATAGTAGATACATTGCATATAATTTAAGTGCTTTTCAAGTCAGTTATAAAGTCATACATCTACCGCTAAAGGCCAAGGTGCATGCGTAGAGGTACACTCACACGCACACACTCACACGCGCGCACACACGCACACGCACAGATGCACCCACACACCCACACACCCACACACCCACGCACGCACGCGCGCACACACGCACACGCACAGATGCACCCACACACCCACACACCCACACACCCACACTGACATGCACACATGCACAAAGTGGTAGGATTAACTACCACTTTCCATGATACAGACACAATACTCTCACTGCGTGACAACCTATTAAAACAAACTGGTTATTTTGTTACGAAAACCTATTAAACTTTATGACTACCTTTATATGAAAATGATTTCCTATTAACTCCTCGAATTATGGAGTACATTTATATTTAGAATGTATATGTAATTCTAAATAAGTGATTATTGCAGGATATAAGTTAGTTTAAAGGGTGAACGGTTAAAAAGTTTATTCAATATTACTATAATGGAATGACTGTCACTTTAAATCTGTTCACCTAGTAAGAATGCATGGGCAGTAAGCAAGGACCTGGAAGGGCAATGCCTCTGTTTAAGCAATATCCACCTAGGAGAAGTACGACACACGGACAAGATTATAGCTGCAGCACAAATCTCATACCTGGTTTTTGACTTTCTGTGTCGTGTGCTGCTGCTATATTAGTTCTCGGCAACATGTTCCCACTGTCTGCCAATAATGTATTCAAAGGTTCTGCCATCATAGAACACGACTCTTTAACTGAAACAGATCCATCCCATGAGAGTGTTAACATGTGCTATAGGACCAGGGTTAAAGGATTGTTGACATGTATATGAAATTATGCAGAAAATGTGTGATATTCAATATACTAAGCTTGAAAGTTATTATCTCTCAACTAAAATTAAAAATTTAAACAACTTGGGTCTCACCTACTAACGGCTACATTACTGATTACTCGATCCACTATAAAAACAACCATGAATTCATTCTATTATAGCCTATAAAACAGCAAGTGAACTAAAAACTTGCAGCTGCATTCCTGAGGGTTGCTACAACAGAATTTGAACATGACAATTTGAGCAACCAAACGCAAGTGTTTTGATATATAAATTATAGTATATACACTTGCTATTGAGCAAGCAATGTTGGTAAATGTTCAGTGTTGGAAAAGGATGAGAAACCATTGCTTTAACTAGAAATGGCAGTTGTCGCCAACTACATGTATCCCCCGTGATCTAGTATGAATGAAATATCTCTGTAAGGACGTAGAAAGTAGGTAAAGTCAAATAAGTCACAAAGACAAAGGTTTGTTACACAACTCATCTGTCTGAGATGTGCAAGTATGTTAAAATTGGTTGCCTTAGGGGTTTTGGCACGCGACACACCCTTCTCCCCAAGATGTTAAGAACGAAGTTGCTCCCAGCTAGTCAATAGGGCCCGAGTATAGGAGCGAAGGGAAATATACCAAATGTCAAGGTCAAGAGTCAATAAAAGCCGCAACGGGTTTGTAACTGACACACATCTCCCCAAATGTAAGTAACCAGGGTGGTTTGGTCAGCCAAGGTCAATTGTCGAGTTACTAGAGCAAGGAAATATATCAAGCAGGGTCAAGTCAAATAAATGTCGTATGACCTGGTTTGGGACGCTGCCGCACCTCCCGCCAAATTTAAGTATACCAAGTGTAGCGCTAGATCAATTAGGGCCCGAGTATAGAGCAGAAGGGAAATATGATCAGGGCAAGTAAAGCTCAAATAAAGGTCGAGTGACCTGTTGTACGCTGCGCACCTTCCCTCAAGATGGAAGTATCCAAGTTGTAGCGCTAGGTCAATGACCGAGTTATAGAGCAAAAGTAAAATGATCAAGTCAAGCAATGCAAATAAAGGCTAGACCTGGTTTTGGGGGTACGCTCGCACCTTCCCCCAAATTGTAATAAGCCCAATTGGTAGCGCTACAATAGGGGGAAGAGTATAACAAAGGAAATAGATCAAGGAAAGCAAATAAAGGTCTAGTAACCTTGTTTCGTACCGCGCACACTCTCCCCAAAATGTTACTAGTAGCAATAGCCGAGTATAGAGCGAAGGAAAAATAATCAAGGAACCAAGAGCAAAAAGTCGAGGACCTGGTGGACGGCACACACCTTCCCCAAGATACGAATACGCAATTTGTACGGGGCTAGCCAATAGCGCCGATAAGGCGGAAAGGAAATAGGATCAAGTCACATAAAGGTCAAAAAAGTCGTAGTACACTGGGCCACGTCAGAAACAAAATTTCTAACATTATCTTACATAACTCCACTCGTTAACCGTGACATAAAACATCGTAATGTTCACAGAACGAAAAATCTTGCAAATACCTCTAACATTACGAAGAGCCCAACCCTCTCATAACTTTAATATAATTGAAAATAACACATTTACACTACGAAATAGTGTACGAACTAATATCAATATATAGTGATATTATATTCTATAAAATGAATAAAAATTTTTTCTTGAAAAACACGTCAAAACATAATATCGCTGATAAAACAAAACAAACATTACAAAATGGCTATGGCATTTTTCTCGTTAAATTGCCATGCGCCACAACTCCTCGCTCTCGTGTACATGGAGATTTGTCTTGTTGTGCCAGAATAAATTCATGACCACGTTCATTTCATCAAAATAAGTGGTTACCAATCAATAAATATCATAAATACTGGTGATACAATAAAAGTTTAGAAAATGAATTGTATCGGATTCTCATCCAATCAGCAGCCTTGTGACATGAAATTATGAAGTTCCTGTTATCGTGAGTTTGCTCGTAGCTACGATGTGTTTCTGTCAACGCTACTCTCGTAGCATTAACATTAGTCGTAAGTGTTATCGTAGCATTAACATTAGCATTAACTTTACGATGTTTCTGACAACGGGCCCCTGGTTTTGGTACACTGCGCACCTTCTCCCCAAGATGTGTAAGTAGACCATGTTTGGTCACGCTAGGTCAATTAGTTAGAGGTCGAGTTATAGAGCGGAAGGGAAAGTGTCTGCGGCAGCGGCGGCGGCTGGACAGACATGAAACCATAGTATCCCCGCCGACTTCGTCGCGGGGGATACAATTACATTCAAGAGCTAAATGATGATAACACGTGTATACCTCTCAGCATCCAACTGACTAATAGTTAGATAGACAGTTTAACATAATTTCAAACATAGTTAATATAATTATAACATAATAATCAATTTGCATCAATTGCAAAGATAATTCTACTCCAGACAGGATGGTTATTGCCACATGCTTAATAGTCAACATAATAATGATGGAGAACTTTCTCACCTTCACATTTAATAACAGGTGGTGGTGTTCCTGCAACACTTGATTTCCTGCTCGAGCTTTTCCCTTTCGCTATGTTGAAATTAACATAATCAAATATGTACACATTAGTTACACACACACACGCACGCACGCACGCACGCACGCACGCACGCACACACACACACACACAATACTGTTCCACAGTGATTTAACATTTCTCATATGGGCCGTTTTCCCAACAGACTTTTAACACATTAAGCCAACCCCTTTTTACACTAAATATATTCTACGTTCTACCTGTATTCTGTGAAGTTAAATATTCATTTTATAGGACTAACCTTTCTCTTTCTCGAGTAAACCTTCAGTAAAGTTGGCACTACTTGGTGTGATTATGGTCTCGATGAAGTTTGCTGTTGTGAATTTTGGTGTACCAGCTGCAGAACTTGAACTCGACTCGTCTTTTTCGTGCAGCCTATCGCTGGCTTTCAGTGCTGGTGTGTAGTTCGTCACAGACACCGTTTCAGATGTCACTGATGGCTTTTTCTCTTTTATTTTCTTTGAAAATATCATATTATGTAATCAGTATACAAACTCTACCACATATACCCTCAATATTTAGATTTCTGGAAAACATGCACAAATAAGTCCTTTTTTTATTGAATTAACAATATAATCATAACCCGAGAGCAAGATTGCTCTATTAAAACAACAGAAAATGTTCTCAAACGGTCAAAATTAAGGCACAAAGTTTATTATTTTCAAAACTTCATAATCTTGAAATTATAGTGCCGTATAATGATGCACATGAAGTAAACCGAGTGAATAACTGCATATGTCAACAGTTTGGGCAACTGTTAAAGGGTTATAACTCAAACAGAGTAAATGTTTACTACATAAGCATTAGAATATGGCTGCAACATTTAAAATTATGTAATGAATTAATTTTAAATACCAGATTATAGTTTTATAATAGAAAAGCCCAATGTAAATATGCAGTAATACCCCACAATATCGAAGTAGTGCATTCCAGGCAAATAATTAATAAAGAGAATATCCTGAACCTGAATCATGGTTTTCTTATATGATAATTAGAGACATGTTACTATGGTGTATTTTAGAGTCAGCAGTTGTAAGTACCCCAATTAAGTTACATGAGTACAATTATGAAAGCAAGTAAACATTGTCAAACACATATATTGATTATTTCATTATGTAACACCCAGTGAGAATTAGTAGCATCTACTTCTAGTACAGTGTAGGCATGACACTGCTAACAGGAACACAAATATTCCATATGCACTGTGTATGTGTTTCCTCTCAATGCAAGAAACTGGTTAACAGACTACCACCACATTTCAAAGCTATACCACCTGACTTTTTGAGAGCTGGCTGTGAATTTTGTGTAGGAAAATGCAAAAATTCTTTAAGAGCAAACATTTGTTTCCTACCCCAAGCTGAAAGTTAATAATATGCAGAGTGCCAAATTAGCAAACTATGTAATCAGTATGGTCAAACTGCTATTACCTGAGTTTCTGTAACATGTGGCAATACTGTATGCATCTGCAATTTTTTGGGTATTTTGATACAACGGATATACACTTACTTTCTCCTTCTTAATATCTTTAACATCAATTTTCTTCTCTGGGGAGGATTCAGGAGAGGCATCCTCTGATGGCACTGGTTTAAATGCTGGGATTGTCTTGATGTTGTCCTTCTTTTGCTATGGAAAAAAAAACATTTTCTCTGCAAATTTGTAATTTGTTTTATCAAGAGCCCTTCAAAATCTGCTTTGGTTTGGTAAGGCTTGTTAAAGGGAGACTTTACTCTAGGTTCTAGGGTTATTTTCAGCTAATTTAGGTTATAATTACGCTACATAAAAAGTTTCATGGTTCAATCACCATTATAAATATTATTAAAAAATGTTTTAAAACTAACGACTACAGTTTGATTACAACGACGGTGGCGCCACTCAAAGCGCACGATCTGATAAGTTGTGCAAAACCACTTTCCAGCCAAGGGCTACAGACCGAGGGTGTTTCTTATTTACTCATTTAAAAGCAAAAGGATTGTAATATCTTATAAACGACATATAGTTTCAGTTATAATATGGATAAATTTGACCTAAAATGAATATCGTTCGGTTAAATAGCATTTAGGTATAAATATAATTGCACTTTTGTGATTAGCCCTCGGTCTGTAACCTGCAAAATAAATTGTCAAATACGCAACTTTTTCGGGGTGGCAGCACAGTCGCGGGTGTCATGGCGCCGTTCAAATTTCGTAGCGTTGATGTGTAAATAATTATAACAATTAAATTAGGTATCTGGTAACAAATACGTGTGGGTATAGACGATTTGTTATACAATAAGTACAGTTGTATGCAGTAAAATCCTAGAGGCTACTGTCACCTTTAACTACTTTCCTCATACATACTAAATCAATTTATTTCTACTCACAAATATTTTCTGCTTCAAACCATCCTATTAAAAAATTACTTTGATCAAATTTACTTTTTTTTAATTTCACATTAACATGTTAATCTACAAACTTTACTTTGAAAGAGTAAATTGTTTATTTGTTATTTATAGAGATTTAAAATTGAGTGACTAAATTTAAAGTAGCCAAATCATTACTTTGCCTTTTTTCCCTCTCTCCTTTCATCGGGAGTGCGTTAATTGTAATATTGAATTAATTCTCAGACTCAACCCTTTACTAGTATCTACAACATGAAAACCTGCTTCTTGCCTAGACTTCACAACACACATTTACTCCCACTATATGTTTGCCTAGCCATCTTAAATCTCTCACGTGTATCAACTCTCTCCCTCTCCCATACGAGAAGCATCAGTTTCACTTCTAGCACCCCACCTAATCAATGTAACTTTGTAACATATATATATATATATATATATATATATATATGACTTTTAAATACCCAAAAGCATTTAATAAAGGGAATTATCAGGGCTTAAAAACACTAACCAGTTTTTGATAGTGGTATTGACAGTAGCCACAGTATTTCACATTGTCCAAGAAATGACCAGCCTCCTCACAGAGAAGCCCTCCAGCTTGAGCACTGCAATTCAAACCACACGAGTTGCAAGTTAACGAGCCTACTTTGCAATTGCAATTTACTTTGCCTACTTTGCCTACTTTGCAATTTAGAATCATGAGAAGTTAGCACAAACAGTAAAATTTTATTTACATACAAGGTGGTCAGCCTAGCTAGCATAGATACAATTTTACTGCATACCATGTTACGTGAAAGAACTGCCGGCAACCACTCTTGTTACATTGCATGCATGCTCCCTGAGTGGCTCTACTCTCTTTGCCTTGTTCTTCACAAATGTAGCAAACCTACAAAACACTACAAATTTAGGGCACATATTATGCATACTAGTGTTGTCAATCGGTTGTAATTTTGTAATCGATCATCGGTTGGACCCAAGTAACCGATGATCGGTTACAATCGGTTACTCGGGGTGTTGAATGCCTGCGTGTGCGTAACGTCGTGCGCATGTACGTGTGTGCATGTATGTGCTTGTTTAGCCCTGTTTACTCTTTGTTTTGCAACAGCCGCCCCCCTCCCCCCCCGTTTGATTTGGCACTGTTTATAGTCTGTGTGTATAAATACTGTTGTTAAATAAAAGATAACTCGTATAGTGCGATGATATCTGCTGATTTCCATACTTTCGCCGAAGTTTCTTGTTTCAAGTTTTTTTTTTTTTTAAATAAAGATATTTTTCCTTTTTCTCCGAAATACAATCGATTATGATTTTGATAACGCAAGCGCTTGTTCGAAGCATCTGTTCAATCCGATGATCGAGTTAATGAATCCGATGATGCGGACATCGACAGGAATGCATACTCAACACAACATAACTATACTTGTAAGTACACATGTGTGCTGATGCTTAATTGTTCCATTGTATCAGGATAGGTTCAAAACTGGAAAATATTCCTGGATATAATATTAGACAACGACATTGGACAACACGTCTGCGATCTGTAAAGTGAATGCGTACAACAGGATCAGCCAATAATGATAATGATGATGACGATGAAATCATAACATAACTAGAAAGGGCAGTCTGTCGGCTCAACTACATGTAGTCCCCTGTGTTCGCCCCAAAGATGTGTAAGTATAACGAAGTTTTGGTCGGCGCCCTATGTCATTAAGCCGGGCCGAGTTATAGAGCATTAAGGGAAATATGATGAAGGTCAAGGTCAATGTCCATAAAGTTGCAGTGAGCCTGGTTCCGGTACGCGACACAGGATCCTTCTCAGCCCAAGATTTGTAAGTATATCCAAAGTTTTGGTCTCGGCTATGGCTAATTAGGGGCCAAATTATAGAGCGGAAGGGAATTATGATGCAGGGGTCAAGTAAAAGTCAAATAAAGTCGTAAGTGACCGTGGTTTTGGTATGGCACACGCCTTCCCCCAAGATTGTAAGTATACGAAGTTTGGTCAACGCTAGGCGTCAATTAGGCGGAGTTTGGTAGGGAGGCGGAAGGGAAATATGATCAAGGGTCAAAGTAAGGTGTAGTGATGCCTGGTTTTGGTAGGGCGCTAAGTCAATAGCGGCAAAGTTAGAGAGCGAAAAAGGGAATATATGATCAAGGTCAGGAAGGTAAGGTCAAATAAGGTCGCAGGACTGAGTTTGTAGCGGTCTTGCTGCACCTTCTTGCCGCCAAATGGTAAGTATACAAAGTATTGGAGCGCTAGTCAATTAGGGGCGCCGAGTTAGAGAGCGGAAGGAAATATATCAAGGCTCAAGGTAAAGTCAAATAAAGTCGCAGTGCCCTGGTTTGGTACGCTGCTCACCTTCTCCCCAAGGATGTGTAACGTATACGCAAGGTTTGGTAGCGGCAGGTCACAATAGGGGCGAGTTAGGAGAGTGGAAGGGAAAATATGATACAGGGTCAAATAAAGGCTCGCAGTGACGCTGGTTTGGTACGCTGCTTCACCTTCTCCGCCATCGATGTGTAAGTAATACCAGGTTTTGGTAAGTGCTAGGATCAATAGGCTGAGTTATAGAGAGCGAGGGAAATATGATGCAAAGGTCAAGGTCAAGGTGACTAAATAAGTCGCAGGACCTGTTTGTAGCGCTGCTCACTGCTTCATCGCCAAGATGTGTGAATTATACCAGTTTTGTAGGCGTAGTCAATTAGGGCCGAGTTATGAGAGCGACGGAATATGCATCAAGGTCAAGGTAAAGTCAAATCAAAGTCGCAGTGACCTGGTTTTCTGGTACTTCTGGCAGCAGCCTTCTCCAAGAGTTGTGTAAGTAATACGCCAGTTGGTCTTGCTAGGTCAATTAGGGGTCCGAGTTTATAGACGCAGATGAAATCTCTGCGGGTCGGACGCGCGCGGCGGCTGGCGGAGACTGAAACCATAATATACCGCGTCGCCGACTTCGTCACGCGGGATACAATAATTAATATCATAATAAGGCAGCAAGCAGTGACAGCAGTGCAACGAAAAAAAGCAATGACAAACAATGGCAACAACAACAGCACAGCAACAACACCCACAAGCACAATAGCATTATGAAATCCATGCTATCATAACTTATTGAATCTCTCATGTGGCAACCAATGACAGAATTATTGGTTCCATTGTCGTCACATCCGGCAAAGCGTACTTCAGGTATATATAAGGCGCAGACAACGTGAGCCCCCTCCCGTGTCCGTCGTAGCTTTAAAAGCAACCTTACTCTAGAAGAACACGAGCTTCACACTTCTGAAAAATTTCGTGTTGTTTTTTATAAATATCCAATTCATAAAAATAATTATACCTATTAATAATTTTTTTTTTTTTAATATAATAATTATAAAATTATTATATTCTATTTTTTCTTACTTATTATTAATTACTTTAATATTAGGATTTTATTATTATATTCTTATTATACACAGTAAGACAGGCACTGATAAATGAATAGAAAATTTTAATACGCTGGCAGCCGCTTTTGTGATTGCAATACAGCAGTCCAAACAAGAGATCAACATACAACAGGTAATGGAGTGAATGGAGTAATGGGTTGATATTGTTCTATGACAAACCTCGAATATCTAAGAAAATTGTGCTGCAAATGCATCGTGGAAAGCAGAGAGAGGGTGTTGTTATCATTATTGGCAAACCATCCTCCAGACAAACTTATATGGATTTAATTAATAACCTGGCAGATTGTAATTAGCTCAATATGAACAACATCTCAGTCGAACAATAGTGAAGCAACATAGAATACAAGATTTAGA